TAATATATATGTCATTCTATTTTCTAATTTATGATGAAATTATATATATTTTAAGTATAAGCAGACACTTATTTACACAAAATGCAATAGATTTACTTCCCCTCATTTTCCTCTACCCTCCAACTTTGGTAACACATATCCACTGAAACATTAGCACCCCCAATACTTACACAATACTGAACAATTAACAACAAATCCATCAATCACGAGCGGAATGAGCTGCCTCTTCAATTTGGTCTCTTTCTCGCGAATCTTCTGCATATGGTGTGTTGTTCGTTCTTGCACTTTCATGGGAGGTAGAATTCACCCTGCTTGTACATCTCAACTTGTATAAATAGAAAAGTTCCTTGTAGTCATAAATCACTTTCAAAGTTTCAATACACATATGACCATACACTTGTTGATGTTTAGGATTGATTTGGCTTGAACAATTCACTAAATTCAATGATTTTTTTTAAACAAACACTATTATCTACATTAAGAGGGAATGAGGTGAGTTTAGCTTTATAATGGGCTAGGAATAATGTGGTTCAAATTCACTTTTGGCGAGAATCGTACCTAGAACCTCTCACTTACAAGCGAAGAGGAATACCATTAAATTGTAGTACTAAATTGCAAATTCAATGAATGTTGAATGAAAATATAGATGCCAACTTACATGGTAAAGATGTAAAATGGAGAAATCATTTAAAGCTCTATGTTACTAAGAAAATATAGATGCTAGTTTTTTTAATAAATACAACCATTTGAAACTTTATATTAATAAAAAAAAAACATTTGACAACTTAGAGTAACTCCACAGGTAGCTATGTGTATCAAAATTTGATTATGGTGATATAGATGACCCTGTGACTTATCAACAAGCTATGAAGAAGTCCTCAGGTAGCTCTATGGCAGCAAGCAATGACAGAAGTACTTGATTCAATGTCTAAAAACAATGTGTATCAAAATTTGATTATGGTGATATAGATGACACTGTGACTTATCAACAAGCTATGAAGAAGTCCTCAGGTAGCTTTATAGCAGCAAGCAATGACAGAAGAACTTGATTCAATGTCTAAAAACAATGTTTGGTCTTTAGTGAAGCCATATGTTAAAATTAAAGCAGTTGACCTCAAGTGGGTGTTTAAGACCAAGAGAAATGCTGAGGGAAGAATTGAGAGATATTAAGCTCGATTAGTTGCAAAGGGATTCACACAAAGGGAATGTGTTGATTAAAATGACACTATTTCACTTCTTTCTTCAAAAAATTCAATGAGAGTGATTATGGCCTTGACAACTCATTTTGATATGGAATTGCACCTGATGGATGTAAAAACTGCATTCTTGAATGGTGAACTTAATATGAAGATTTTTATGTCTCAACCTCCTGGATTTGTTGAAAGGGGGAAAGAAGATATGATTTGCAAATTGAATAAATCAATCTATGGTTTAAACCAAGTTTCAAGACAATGGTTTCTGAAATTTGATCAAGTAGTTACTTCACAAGGGTTTGTTGAAAACAAGATGGACGATTGTATCTACCTTAAGTTCAAGGGATCCAAGTTCATTTTTCTTGTTTTATATGTTGATGACATCTTACTTGTAAGTTCAGATGTGCAACTGTTAAAAGAGACTAAAAGCATGCTGAGTTCAAACTTTGAAATGAAGGATCTTGGTAAGCTCATTATGTTCTAGAAATTGAGATTGTGAGATATAGAAGACCAAAACTCCTTGGCTTATCTCAGAATGGCTACATAGAGAGAGTGCTTACAGGTTTAACATGAAAAGTTGCAACAAGGCTGATGTTTTAGTAAATAAAGGTGACATGTTTTCTCGAGATCAATGTCCCAAGAATGAACTTGAGACTAAGTTAACGAGATGAAACCATATGCTTCATTAGTTGGTAGTTTTATGTATGCTAATATCTGCACTAGACCTAATTTGGCTTTCATTGTTGGTATTTTGGGAATAATTCAATCAAATCCTGGAGAAGCTCATTGGGTGGCAGCTAAGAAGGTGTTGAGATATTTGCAAAAAACTAAAGGGTTTATGCTAGTTTATGGACATAATGATTCATTAGAGTTGATTGGATTTATTGATTCTAATCTTGCTAGGGATGTGGATGAAAGAAAATAAACTGGTGGATATATTTTTAAGGTAAGTGGAGGTGTTGTGTCATGGAAGAGTGCTAAGCAAACTATAGTGTTAACTTTAACTATGGAAGCTGAGTTTGTAGCATGTTTTGAGGGGATGAAGCAAGTTGTTTGGCTCAGAAACTTAATTGTTGATATGAAGCTTGTAGATTCAGTTAAAAGACCTATAAAAATGTTCTATGAAAATAATGATGTTGTATTTTTTCTCAAAGAATAACAAAAGAACTTCAGCTTCAAGGTTAATGGATGTGAAGTTCCTTAAAGTTAGAGAAATGGTCAAGAAAGGGGAGATTGATATTCAGTACTTATATATCGGTGCAATTGATATTCAGTACTTATATACTGATGCAATGATTGTAAATCCTCTTACTAAAGCCTTGCCAAACAATGTTTACAAGGAGCATGTTACACATATTGAGGTTGTAGAGTCTTTTGAACAGTGGGAGTGAACTGCTTCGAAATTGGAAGACTGTTGTGGTGTTTCATTAGTATATGATGGCATTGAGGCAGCATGTCTTCACAATTATGTAGTTTTGTTAGTTTGAAATTAGTAGTATTTGTTTAGCTAGTTTTATAGGTTATTTGGGTTTTCAATAAATGTTCAATTCTTCCAATGTGATCAATTGTTCTAGAAAAAACAAGTTTTGTTCAATGAAAGTAAGTTTGCTAGAAAATCAATTTGTGATTTTGTCTGATGCATAATTATTAGAATTATTGATATGTCAAGTTGGTTAATGAATATAGTCATTAACTGAGAGTTTAATTCTATTAAGTTGAAAGCTGTTTCACTCAAAGTAGGAGTTATACATTTTTGTGCTCTGCGCTTTGGTTCAAATAAGTATTGGTTGCAGATTGAATATGTAGTAGTTGTTGAATTGTTTATGTAATGTACATAGTAGATTCTTCATTTCCTTATTTTGAAATGCATAACTATATAGTATGTGAGTATGAATGTGGCTTGAATAAGACTTAGTGATCACTTCTATAAATTTTGAAGACTGGTTGTGTTCATACTCAAGTGGGAGAATGTAAGATTATGAGTATGAAATATATGATAGAACCGGTTATAGTGTTTGAGATTGATATGGAAAAGTCTTGATTAAAGCTATTAGGTTGTCCTTAATGTTTTAGGATAATAGAATTGAGAGAAGTTCAAATTGGTTTTGGAAAAGAACTTAGTGTTGGAACTTTATAAGGTCTCATAATTCTTTATGGTTTGCCTAGTTTGAATCCTAGTCTAATTCTGATAGGGAATGGACAGAGGAGTACCATATATATATCTCAAACCACTGCTCTTGCGAACACTGGTTTATTTTATTCTAAGACCTATTGATTAGAAGAACTATTATCATTGCAAAAGAGGATAAGGTTTTGAGCACAGAGGCTGCAATGGCTTCATCATCAAGATCAAATAATGCAGGTATGTTTCAAGGCTTTGGTTTTTAAGTTGTGATTCAATTGGATGAATTCTTATTCCTTGAATAAGAAGTTATAAACTTGTTCCTACATGCCAAACCACTCGTTTTCCTCCACCCACCAACTCCGGTAGCACATATCCACTGAAACATTAGCACCACCAAGACACACAATACTGAACAATTAACAACAAATCCATCAATCACAAGCGGAATGAGCTGCCCCTTCAATTTGGTCTCTTTCTCTCGAATCTTCTGCATATGTTGTGGTGTTCGTTCTTACACTTTCATGGGAGGTAGAACTTAGCCTGCTTGTACATCTCAACTTTTGTAAATAGAAAAGTTCCTTGTAGTCATAAATCACTTTCAATATTCACATATGACCATAGGGGTGGTTCGGTATGAGATAGCATACTGAAACTAGTATCCCGAATCCCAAACCGATTTTTTTTGGGACAAAAATTTGAAGACCAATTCCAAACCAAATTTTCGGGATTTCGGGACAAATCGGGAATCCTAAATTTAAATATGAAATTATGAATTGTTGTTTAAATATATATTTTCGGAATTTCAGGACAAATCGGGAATCCCAAATTTTCGGGATAGCATCCTGAAAATTTCGGGAAGTTCGGTTTGGGATCGGGATTTTTTTGGTTCGGTTCGGGATTTTCGGGAATTTTTTCCACCCCTATGATCATACACTCAATGATGTTTAGGATTGGTTTGGCTTGAACAACTCACTAAATTCAATGAACGTTGAATGAAAATATAGACGCCAACTTACATAGTAAACGTATAAAATGGAGAAATCATTTTAAGCTCTATATTAATAAGAAAATAACATTTAACAGTTTAGTTGGAAAAATATAAAATTTGACATAAGACGTTAGATTGCCAAGTCACTCAACAATTGTAATTTGACTATTAAAATCCAGCATTTTCTTTGAAGATGATCTTAAGACCATCTCCAAAGGAGATATCAAATATGCCAAATAGGATTAAAAGACATTTAGGTGTTCTTCAATGGATATGCTAAATATGATGTGGCATGTGAGTCATTTGACTTCTTGCTTTCTTACTGCCTTTTTTGACAGCAAACAAAGAAGGAGTCAAACATATTTAATTGAATTTTTTAATACATGGGTCTCATTAACAACCAATAGAATAAAAACTACAACTAACTTTGATTATTTCTTAATAGTTAATGTAACTCTAGGCCCAATAAAATAATAAAATAAATATTTGACACATCCATTGGAAAAGAAGAGAATTTATCATTTGAAAAAGCTGTAAGGAGTCTATTGGAAATGCTGTGAGTAGCCTAATAAATAAATAAAAACTGAAAATAAGAGTAAAATAGGAAGTCGGTTGAGATATTTTCTTATGAAAATTCAAAATTGCAGTGGCGCGCTTATATAAAAAGTTTCCCTCGCGTCTCCTCCCTCTCCTCTTCTATCCTGTTTTCAGCAAACTGGAACGCCATTTCCTCTCACTTATTTCTCACTCAAATCTACTCAATCTTGTCTTTGTAATCAATTAATGACGATGGGTAGAGAGGCCGATGAGGATGTTGGTGGTGTTGGTGATAGGTTCAAGGACGCCGAGGCACTCAATCGCTACAAGAAAAACTTCCGACTGTGTTTTCTGAGGACCGATCGGCAAGAGTACCTGTTGAGCGATTTCGAGGATTTTGGGATTCCCTCCGTCTTCGAATCACGCGGTTGGCTTTCCGTTGTAGGACCTGCAGAGCCTGCTAATGTCCAGATTATTCAAGAATTCTACTCCAACATCCCCCCTCTCCCTGCTGATCGGCCATTCCCCGACTCTTTTGATGTCTACCTACGCGGTAAGACCCTCAATTTCTCCGTAAATAGCATTGCCCGGTTGCGTAAACTTCCTCGGCTCAAGCCGGATGAACCCGGTTTCGATTATGATCAGCTTGTTGCTAAGCTTGACATGAATTTAGTCAGGTCTACCTTAGTTGGCCCCTACAAGAGATTGCAAGAACTTTTCTCCGTAACCCGTCTCACTGACTTCTACAAAATACTTAACTGCATTGTGGTTGATAATATTGATACTCTGGGTTTCTCTTCCTCTTCTTTCATTACTCCTGATAGAGCGCGCCTCCTTTATGCTATTGGGACCAATCTGCCAATTGATCTGCCCACCTACATTTTCCGTGTAATCTGCCGATCTGCAAGTTTTACCCTTGGCGACTTGCCTTTCGGGTCCTTAATAACTCGGTTCGCCATGGATTCTCAGGTGCGAATTGATCCTACGGATAGGCTTCGATGTTCTTCTGTACCAGCTCTGAAGTTGGATTGTATACCTTATATTAAGAGACGTGTGCCGTCTTCTCCTGCATTTAATCCTGCAGGCGCACGCGCACCCGCACCTGTGCCTCCTGTCAACAACATGATGCTTCATGGCAAGACAAGTGTACCATCTTCTCCTATAGTTAATGCAGCATCAGCTGCTTCTGAGCCAACTCCACAGCATAATCAGCCTCCAATCGTGAGGCACGACAGGACCCAACTTACCATCGCAGAGCTCCGCGGTGATTCGTCTGCCGTTTACGCACACCCCGAATCCCCATCTCCAACTAATCTGCAGCAATCTACAGGTCAGTCAAATATTTAGCTTCATGGGCTTGCTTGACAGTAATTATGGCCTTTTGCTTTATTTTCCCTCTATCTTGAACTCTCGTTTGTAATTCACTGACGATGTATGAAATATGAGTGTTTAACATAATCTATTTATGAAATGTTAGGGTTTAGCATTACCTGTAACTATTTATCAAACGAGAGAATTTGGCCTGTAAATGGGCTTGAATTTATTGATCTGTATCTCATGTAATAGGAATCAGCGTTTCTTATTAACTATTTATGAATGTGCGTGCATGTGTGTGTGAGAAAGAGACAGAGAGAGAGAGAGAGACGTGGGTTTGCGTTTATTAACATGTAACTCATGTAGTAGGCATAGTTCGGTTTTGTGGGTCTATCGACAGGGGGTGTTGCTAATGATTTGCCTATGATAAGAAGTAGAGGGGAGACCTTGTTTGAGGGTAGGACTGAAGCTATTGATGAATATAGAACGGTGCCGGTAGGATAAGATTGAGAAGCTCTGTCAGGTAACGTGTGAGACAATATAGAGTTAAACATTCTTTCCACTACAGATCCAAGGATAACTATAATTAGAGCTCTCAAGGTGGCCGGCTCATGCGGTTGCAGTACATAACTATGTTTGTCTGCAGTCGCACCAACCAAAGTGAGCATGGTGCCTGGATTTAAGAATCCATCTAACAGATAGCTGTTACCTTATATGTTCATCGAAGAAAGAATTTTTTAAATGAGGATTCCCAAAACTAACGTCCATGCAATTGCTATTGGACATTCAGCTTATTACGGTAAATGTCATTGTCCCTTAAATTGCTCTTTAGTGAAGCTGGTAAGAAATTGTCAGGTTTTTACAGGGGGCGTTGTAGTTATGAAATTATAGTTAGCAGCTTAGCAACTAGAGATCAACCACGGAATGCTTTTGTGATTCGTAATTTTGAATAACCTTCCAGTGTTTACAGGTTGGCTTCATCGTAAGTGGAAATCTTTATAAGATTGTCACTGGATGATCTGATAAAATCCTATCTTTGAAACTGAGCTGCCTTTTTTCATGAACATTTATAAAGTGATGGAGAAAAGTTTGTTATCTTTGTAAAATTTACAAGATTCCCATACCTCTGTAAGATCTGTATGGGAGGATAATAAATGAAGTCTACTTTCTATCTGTGCTTGTGCTGAAGAAAAAATCTGATTCCTAACTCTCGTCGCATGCTTGTATAAATCTGTCAGCTTCAACTTGCGACTCCCATCCAAAAAAGAAAGCGAAAAGAGATTCCATGGCGGATGCAATTGGTGAGATGGCAAAGTCAGTGAAGGAGTTTTTGGCAAGTCAAGTGAAACCGCGAGTGAGACTCGAAGGAAAGGAGGTACTTGACGTGGTTTTGAAGGTACCAAAACTTAGTAGACTGCAAGTTATGAAGGCTGTGCGCATATTACTGAATGGTAATCCAGAAGATTTCTCCCTAGTGAAATCTCTTAATGATTCCGCGAGGAGGGAGTGGATACTGTTTATTATTAGTCAATCTGAAGTATGAACCAAATGAAGAATCAAAAGTAGCCCGTGACTTCAAAATCTCTTTAAAATTAGTTCTTTCTCTTTCGCTGCTGTTTTCATTTACTTTATATCTAGTGAAGTGCTGGTTTTCTTCAATGATTAGAAACATTTGCATGTATATGTATATTTGTAAGCAGACATCTTTGCTGATATATTATTGTACTGTTCTCCAAGTGGTTGTTTTTCCCTTTATTTTATTTATTTCACTTTTTTGAAAACTAAAACTCGTTTGGTTACTACTTTTAGTTTTTAATTTAAAAGAAAATGAAAACTAAAAACTACTTTCTTGAGTTATTAAAATTTGGCTGTCAGATTTGGTTTTTAGTTTTCATTTTTTTAAAGTAGTTAGCAAAAGAGATTTCAGAAAACTGAAATGATTATCAAATGTCTCCTAAATTTAGTTACAAACTTACAATCAATTTATTAATAGAAAAACTATTGTCCGTCTAATAATCATTTTTATTTTAGCTTTGCCTTTTTTTGTGCTAGAGATAGAAAGAAAGTATATGAAGTAAAAGAGGGATATAATCATTTTTATTTTAGCTTTGCCTTTTTTTGTGCTAGAGATAGAAAGAAAGTATATGAAGTAAAAGAGGGATATAGAAGAGTGAAAGGGCGGTGGAATGGAAGAAGAAATGTAAAAGAAATGGCACACAAAAACCAAACAAAAACTCAAAACCGTAGATTTAAGTCAATTTCCAATAATGTGATGTTACAGTTGCTCGTATCTAAATCTGTTGTGCTAGGATAGCACCAAAACCAATTGGAACCAACTCAAGCTAATCCATAGGAAATATATCAAATGGAATGCAAGAACCAAATATAAAAGACACCAAGATTTTAACGAGGTTCCTCAACAGTCAGTTTAACTGGAATACGTCCTCGGAGCAGTAGGAGCTCACCCAATAATCCACTATCAACCAAATGGGAGTTTACAAAATGTTGACAATCTCACAACCTAAAACCCCAATACAACCAATAGTTCTCACACACCAAAGAACCAAATAGAGAAGGAAATATTGTGAATAATTTCCTCTCTATACGAAGCTCAAAGATAATACAACTTTGATGAATGATTACTAACCGAAGAGAGGTGCTATCTTCCAATGAGGAATGCAACATTCCTTCTTCTTTGCTCGGATGCTTTGCTGCTCTGCTTTCTGAGCAAAGTTGGGCTTCTCCAAAAACCAAAATGATGCTCTCTCTCCTTCTCCAAAGGCAAAGAGTGGAAGTAAAAAAACAAATTTTCTACCTTTGAAAATTCAACAAAACAAAAGGAAACATAATCATTTGTCTCCTCATAATAATGTTCCCACATCATTATGTCCTTCATTTTTTATTATATGCACCGAAAGGTTTTTGGCCACTTGGCCACTAATTTAACAATCTTCACCTTGGCCAAGTTCCGAAAATGCCATGATAAGCCAACCAACACAATCAACACAAAAATTACTCCCAAACACTTGCAAGAGAACAACTCATGTCGAGCCAAATGCTCCAAAACTCTTACTGCTCAACACCTTCTTCATATAGGCAAAATGTGAGCCAAGTTTAAGCAATGAACAAACTTGGCTACACCAACAACCTTAGTCAACATATCAGCGGGGTTGTCTTTAGTTGGGATCTTCTGGAGAATAATCTCTCATTCACCAACGACTTCACGCACAAACGCACATCTATGTGCTTGGTCCTCACATGATGAACCTGATACTTAGCCAAATAAATGGCATTCTGACTATCACAATGTACCTCTACTTGCTTCTGATCAACCCCCAAATTTCTAATCAGCCCATGTATCCAAATGGCCTACTTTATAGTTTCAGCAACTGCCATATATTCAGCCTCTGTAGTAGACAAGGCAACAAACGACTGCAAAATGGACCTCCAACAAACTGGCCCATTAGCCATAGTAAACACATAGCATGTAGTAGATTTTTCCATCTAGATCACCTGCATAATCTGAATCAACATAACCAATTGCAAAATGACCAATACCAGAGTCATCTCTCTCAAAGCATAAACCAACATCTCGAGTACCATGGAGATACCTCAATATCCACTTAGCTGCTTACCAATGCTCTTTACCTGGATTATGCATATATTGACTCACCATGCCAACTGCATGAGCAATATCCGGTCTAGAGCATACAATTGCATACATCAAACTACCAACCAAATTTGCATATGGTATATTTTTCATTTGCAGCTTCTCTTTATCAGTTTTAGGACATTGTAGAGAACTCAATTTAAAATGAGGAGCCAAAGGGGTACTAACCGGTTTGGTTGAATCATGAACTCTAAACTTCCGCATCAACTTTTCAAGGTATTGTCTTTGATTCAAACTGACCAAACCCTTATCTCTATCTCTAGTGATCTCTATGCCAAGAATCTTCTTCGCTTCACCAAGATCCTTCATCTCAAACTCATTATTCATTTGCTTCTTCAATTTCTCAATCTCTTCGACATTCTTTGAGGCAATCAACATATCATCAACATATATCAATAAATAAATGAAAGACCCATCTTACAACTTCTTGAAGTACACACAATGATCATATTAACTTCTAGAATAATTTTGATCTCTCATAAATTTATCAAACCTCAAATACCATTGCCTTAAAGATTGCTTCAAGCCATAAAGTGATTTCTTCAATTTGCAAAACAAATTCTCCTTCCTTTTCATTGTATACCCATCCAGTTGACACATATAGATCTCTTCATTCAAATCACCATGTAGGAAAGTCGTCCTCACATCGAGTTGCACAAGCTCAAGATCATAATGTGCAACAAGAGCTAACATAATGCGAATTGAGGAGTGCTTCACAACCGAAGAAAAGATTTCGTTGTAGTCAATGCCCTCATTTTGTGCATACCCTTTAGCAACTAATCTTGCTTTGAATCTTACATTACTTTTCTCATCAGCACCTTCCTTCTTGGCATACACCCATTTGCAATCGATAGCTTTCTTGCCCTTAGGCAATTTAGCTAATTCCCAAGTCTTGTTCTTCAAGAGAGAATTCATCTCATCACCCATGGCATTGCACCACCTCTCATTCTCCTCACTCTCAATGGCTTCCTCAAAATTGGATGGAATATCATAAGTGATAATAGGAAGAGCAAAAGCAACATAGTCACTATACCGAGCTGGCTTGGTAATTTGTCTCTTTCCTCTGTTCTTGGCAATAGACTCTTGAGGTGAAACTTGCTTTTTAACTTGAATAGAATATTCAAGTTCAACTTCTTCAACATCCTCATGGTCTCCAACTTCTTCACTTGTAGTGGCTTCGACATCAGCGAAAATAGGATTTGAAGTACCAGAGGCAACTTTCTCAAGCTCCACCTGTTGGACATCTTTCACATTCTTCTCAGAGTCTTTGTACATACTTTCTTCATCAAATGTCACATCTCTGCTAATTAAAGTTTCTTCATTTCTGGGCACCACAACCTGTAACCTTTGACACCACTACTAAAACCAAGAAAGATAACCTTTTTGGCTCTAAGATCAAGTTTATTTTTAGTTACATAAAAATAAGCAGGTGAACCAAAAATATGAATATAATCATAATCAGTAGAAGGTTTCCCAGTCCATACCTCTATTGGTGTCTTACCCTGAATAGCAGCTGAGGGTAACTAATTGATGATGTGACATGCATAAGTAACTGCCTCTGCCCAAAACAACTTGCTCAAACCTAATTGAGACAACATACATCTAACCTTCCCAAGCAAGGTTTGATTCAATCTTTCTGCAACTCCATTTTGTTGTGGAGTTCCCCGGACACTGAAATGTCTCACAATCCCTTCCTCTTTGCAAACTTTAAAGAAAGGGTCGGATGTGTATTCACCACTATTATCCGATCTCAAAATTTTAATCTTTCTCCCAGTCTGGTTCTCAACCATTTTCTTCGAATCCAAGGAAATGCTTAACACCTCACTCTTGTGCTTCATAGTGTAGACCCAAGACCTTCTTGAATAATCATCAACAAAGGTCACAAACCAATGTCTACCACTCAAAGAGGAAGTCTTTGTAGGACCCCAAACATTTGAATGCACATAATCAAGAATGCCCTCGTCTGATGTACTGCAGTACCAAACTTCACTCTAGTTTGCTTTCCCAAGACAAAATGCTCGTAGAAATCAAGCTTACAAGTCGTGACACCTTTTAGAAGACCTTTTTTCATAAGCCCTTGTAGAGTTTTCTCACCGGCATGGCCTAATCTCATATGCCACAGTCTAGTAGTATCTGAATCAGATGTGCCAATATTTTCTAAGACTACAGACGCTTCACCTGTCACGATGCTTCCTTGCAATAGATACAAATGATCACATCGAAGAGCTTTCATCACCACAAGTGCACCATAAGTAACTTTCAATGTCTGCCCATCTGAATGAAACCTGAAGCCCTTGGATTCTAAAGTGCCCAAAGAAATAAGATTTTTCTTCAAATTCGGTACATACCGAACACCTGTCAACTCTTTAACCATGCCATCATGCAACTTCAAACGAACTGTACCAATCCCTTTTGTTGTACAAGGATTGTCATCTCCCATGAACACAACACCACCATCAAACTCTTTCAAGCTTGAAAACCAATCCTTGTGAGGAGTCATATGATGAGTACAACCCATATCCAACACCCATTTAGTAGCACAATCAAATGATGAGGAAGTGGTTAAAGCAAAATCAAAAAAATATGTTTCAACCTCAGCAACATTGGCTTCAGAACTTTCTTTTCCTTTGGTCTTCAACCTAGGACAATCTTTCTTCCAATGACCCTTATTATGACAAAAGGCATATTCATCATTTTCCAAGGTTTTTCTACCTTTAGAGTTTCCTCTAGGTCGAGAGTGTGATTTTTTTTTTCTACTAGAAGAGGATCTCCTCTCCGATGATCTACCTCTAACAAATAAAGCTTCACAGTTACTATCATGATTTTTTATCTCTATGCCTCATTTCATAATTCATCAAGGCATTTGACACATCTTCAAATTTCACAGTTTCTTTACCATGCATAATAGTGGTAGCAAAATGCTCATAAGAGTCCGGCAAGGAATTCAACAATATTAAGGTCTTATCTTCATCCTTAATATCTTCATCTACATTTAACAAGTCGGCAATCAACTTATTAAAAGCATCAAGGTGTCTAATCATTTTTGTACCTTCTTTGTAT